GTAAAAGATTATTATTACAGAAAAGCTACTAAATGAATAAGATTTGTTAGATCATAATTAATAAACCCAAATAAAGTTAATATTTTTTGTATTAGAAACAACGAGTGGAAACTATATTCAAATCAGAATTCTGAATTATGAATCACCACAGGCAAAATATGCAATTTTTTTTACTGTATTCAATAAGTAAAAATCGTAAATTGTAAAAGAGGCTACCTACATTTTTCAACCGATTTCAACAAAACTTCACTTTTTTTTTTGGCATGTAGTGTTTCTTATTGTCTTGCACACTTTTTTCTTTATTTTTACATTCAGAATGCTTTAAAATTTCCATTTACAAGACAATTATTTATAATAAAATTCTATTCAATCGGTAGAGACTCATCATAACGATTGAAAACAATGTTTTTGTTTGAATTTGACCAATTCGTTTAAAAAAAAAAAAAAAAACTAATTAAGACATGCGTGTCCGTCAACCTTAAACAATAATCTTTGTCAATTTTATTTTTCAGTCTTTATGATGGTGGATACTTGATCTATCTCTTACTGTTATATCCCCGAGCAACGCCAGGCTAGTCAAGAAATAAAACATCTAATATTTTTTAAAGTTTATTATTATTTGGTAGCCACTCAGACTTATGGAACACACTTATCTCAAAAATGCTTCAGATTGTTAAAAACATTTTACCAAATTGCATCTAATCATACTTATTATACTTATTATAAAACCCAGGTTGTGTGTGTGTGTCTACGTTTATATATTGGATCGGATTTCCTACATTTTTCAACCAATTTCAACAAAACTTCACAGGACTATGTAAAATTACCTTGCGGTGGGTCTGACAGCGCCAAAAATTGAAAAACAATTGTTTTTGTACAAAATCAATTTGAAAACACGATTAAGAGTCATCGCTATTGCCAGAATGAAAGGAGGACAACTCATATTGAGTTATACTTATTATAAAACCCAGGTTGTGTGTGTGTGTGTGTGTGTGTTTGTTTATATATGGGATCGGATTTCCTACATTTTTCAACTGATTTCAACAAAACTTCACTTTTTTTTTTTTGGCTGGTAGTGTTTCTTATTGTCTTGCACACTTTTTTCTTTATTTTTACATTCAGAATGCTTTAAAAATTCCATTTACAAAACAATTGTTTATAATAAAATTCTATTCAGTCGGTAGACTCATAACGATTGAAAACAATGTTTTTGTTTGAGTTTGACCTATTCGTAAAAAAAAAAAAAAAATAATTAAGACGTGTGTACGTCAACCTTAAACAATAATTTTTGTCAATTTTATTTTTCAGTCTTTATGATGGTGGATACTTGATCTATCTCTTACTGTTACATCCCCGGGCAACACCGGGCTCTACTGCTAGTTTGAAATATAAACAGAACTGAAGGCATTAGCAATTATCAGGAATTTTCTTTATTCTCTTTATGGTTATTAAATTTCTTCTGCGTGTTCTGTTAATTCAGGGCATTGGAAAACAATGCTCTTCACAATTTCCTATCCTATTTTTCAAATAATTTATTGAATTATTTATGATGAAACTTATGCACAAGAGCCTTTCCAAGAACACAGCCTAATTTGTGAACAGATGTTGTCTGCAGCTTCCATGAAAAGAAAAATGTCATGTTTGTCCCCTTAATTTTCCTCCCACTCCTCCTTCTGTCAACCATTTACACAAGCTCAAATTATGTTACCCACCATTTGTCCCTGTCCCTTTGCTTTCAATGTCCTGTGAGTGTCAAATTCTCCAAGTACTCTTTCCTCATTATGTGTTCCAGAAATTTCAACTGTCTTTGATTCAGTCATGTCAATACATAATATAACTAGTTATTAATAACCAAAAAGGTATACTCGGCTACTTCACTTCATTCTTTTCTCCAAATATTTTCATGGCAACTGCTCTCAACAACATTAATTTAAATGTGCTACTAAATTGGCATCTCGGTCAAAACAGATAAATGTAGCCACTTCTACTTCAACAGCTATTTTTCTTGCACTTAATGACAGTTTAACTCCCTTCCTCTTACTTGCTTTCCTGATAACTATAATCTTCAAAAAATTTCACTGTCAATCAACATCTTCTGATGCCTTGATCTTGAGCCCCATACTTCTCTTTATCCTTTTCTCAAACACCTCTCTTTTCTCTTACTTTCACTCTCTGTAACCCTTTGCGTGCTAGTGGCATTAGCGCCTTGCTTGGTATGAAATGCTTAAAAAAAAAAAAAAAAAAAAAAAAAAAAATGTGGCCCAGTTGTGGCCAAGACACTCATACAAAGTCAAGTGCAATGTAAATGATTTTTTTTTTATTTGTGACTGGTTTTTATGACAACTGATAGTAAAATCATGATGCGAAAGCTTCAAAGTAACCAGCTGCTGTTCACTGTGAAAGAGAGTAAATAAACAAAAACTCTTTTGGGATCAAATGGCACTCAGTCAGAATGTAAAGAATAGGCATACTCTTGGTTCGATTAAGTCAATTATGAGTTGCCACTTGGTGAGTGACAAGCCATTGGGGGAGAGCCAGTAATACAGTTAGAGACAAAAAAGCAAAGCAACACGAAGGAATGGGAAAAAGGTCAGTAAGAGAGAGAGAGAGAGTCAGCAATCAGAGTGATAGGAGATATATATAAACAGAGGTCATCAGAGTTCTCACTGGTTGAAGAGAAGATCTGATTCATTAGTTTGTTGTGAGAGAAAATAGAACAGTGAATATGTCACAAGTGTCAATTAGCCACCTCCCAGACCATGTGAGATAAACCTGTGAATAAATAATCCAATATGTTGGAAACAGAATTCCTGTTTTCTTTTCTCTCCATGGCATTATTTCACCTGTTCCTTTGTGAATGCATACCAGACTTTCTCAGCTTTTGTTCACAATTACACAATATGGGGTGATTTTTCCAGTTGGTAAAAGACTGAGGAAAGGGCAGGGCTGTATGTTTGAATATGTAAGATTGTTTCTATAAATACTAAGAAGGTAAGAAATTATGAAAACTGTAAGGTTTTCAACCCAAAATCTGGTTATGAATATACAATTTATAATTTTCTAGCTGCATCAACAGGAATTTTGCTTTGAAACCTTTCAAAAACAGAACATATGTATATGACAGGATTGATGAAAGAATGTACAATTTTACAATAAGTTTTATATTCTTATTTTCTAAATTATTTATGTTGAAACTTTCATTGTATGAAAGCTTCTCTAAAAACACAACAGTAGAAATTGTGAACAGATGTTGCCTGTGCAGTCACCATGAAAAAATTCTTCATTATACAATGTTCCTAGAAGCATTAAATTTATCAAATTTAAGGAAATAAAAGATCCAATCAATCAATATAAATTCCCAGTGTACCAAGATATAGCCATTTACACACCTCTCTAGCTTTATGCTAAGCAAAATAGATTGAGTCCACTAATGAGACATTATTGTATTAGAGCATCTTTTTCTTTCTTCTTTAAATGCTTATAGTTTGTTCAATGACATATCAACTCCTTATGGGTCATTTAATGCTAAAATTTACTTTTTTGGGGAGCTTTGAAATAATAATATATGTTACTCTGTTTTCACAATTGAATACAAAAATGTATTGCTAGTAACTTTTTTTTTTAACTATGAAAACATATTGCTAATATTTTTACTATAAAACTATATTTTTATACCTTCATAGTGTTCCAATTTTAGTTTGGTGGGAGTTCACTATTTCCTCATAGCTGGGATCCTAACAGATGCTACCACCATGGGTCAGGGTGAATGTGTGAACAGCAATTAAGAGGTGGTTCCATGCTCCTCCAAACCTCATGGTCAGAGGCCTTGTTGCCAGATGTGGTTTATTGTCATAACCAGTATATACTTTAAACACTCATAATACTGTAAAGTATTAGATGCTTTGTTTTTCAGTTGTAGAATACTCAAGTTCTAACTCAATTTCACACCTGTCACAAATCTGATAACATACAGAATATTTGCTGATGTAACTTCAGTTAATACTAACTTGTTTTATACTGAAAACAAAATAGTTGATTCATAGTTGTTCTATGGCTACATTGTCTCATACTTTAATATCAATTATTATTATTTAAAAGTTTTTATTTTCTTGATCCTGTGTTTTGTTAACTCATCAAGCTAAGTCCATCCCTTGCAGTTGGGGGAGCTAATATTGGGGTGTGATAGTTGTATTTGATGAATAGAATCCTCCTTAATATATAAGCATTGCTGAGGAGGATGTTTTCTGAACTTCTTCTATCTTGATGTCTCCGGGGATTTTGTTGGTATATTTTTCATCCATTTCTTGACTAGAATAAGTACATCTGTTACTACCTGCATTGTTTTGGTCTTCAAGTTTTACATTCTCTAAATTTCTATTTCATTAGTGTGTTTTTCTGTGGGGAGGGAGGGGCAGGTGGCCAGGGATGTCTTTCTTACGGTGAAGACAGACATGTTGATGAATAGTCTGGTTTTCTACTTATTCTTCCCTACAAAGCTCAAACCCTCACTTACGCTATTCCGTGGACTAATTCACATATTCCCTGTCATATTTAGGTGAGTTTCTGGTAGTAGTCATTGAATAGGGATGAAAATAAGTGTTTTTACCGGGTTTTTTTCTCCCTTTCATCTATTTGTAGTGATCAAACAGAAAAGCCACTGTGTAGGTTAAAAAATAAGACCTAAAATGGTCAATAGCTGGCTAACTAGAAGTGGTGCCTTGATAAATTCCCATGAGAAAGTAACAGAAAACCACTCCATTGTTCCTCAAAAAAAAAAAAAAAAAAAAAAAATCATGGCAATAAACAACTCAAGAAATCAAGTTAAGCACAATATGTCAGTGAGGATTATAGCTTTTTGCAGTCAGTATAAAAAATATCTTTCAAAATTGTTAATTTTTACCATGTGATTGATTGGTGTGCTTTTTTTTTTTCTTTTTTTTTACAGCTTAACTCTTTGTAGGTTATTTAAATCTGAAACACTTTAGATTGTAGGAGATAGCTTACACTACCTAGTGTTCCTGAGTAGTCCCCCATCCAATTACCAACTGAGCTTGGCACTTCTTAACTTCAGTGATCGAACGGGAACAAGTGTTTCAGCTTGATTTGATCATAAGCTAATTCCTACTAGTAAATCCAATTTTCAACTAATGCTTAAAACAGAATAGATATGACTCACTTCTGAAAATGCAGTTCTAAAAATCAAAGAAAAATTTTGGCAAATATAAATAATTAGGTAAATCCTAATGTATTTATAGAGAAAAAGTTACAAAGTCCATAAATTCTTCTAAAGGCACAATTCCAAGCCACAATGCAAGCTTCCTTTTATATTAATGAGATTTCTATTATGTAGACAATTAGAAATTCAATAAAAAAAAAATAGTGTAACATCAAAGCCATTTTATTTTCTTTGCGCTTGCTACACTGTCAGACTTTGAATCCAATTCTGATCAACATTTTTGTCCACATTTTTAAAAACATTTTAAGATATTACAATTAGTGTTATTTTTTGTTTTTAATCATTTCAACCCATGCAAAGCAGTAAAGCCACTAAGACACAAGGGGTTACTGAGTGTGAAAGAATGAAAAACATTATTAAGGATTGAGAAAAATAGAAGGGTTATCAAGAAGACAGTAGATTGAGCTTCAAAAATTTAAAAGCAGTTAGCTGGAAAGTATGGAGCCAGAAGAGAGTTCCACAAGCAAGAAGTGTGAGAAAAGAAACTGTCAGCATAGAACTTACAGTTACATGTAGTCAGTTCAACTGTAAATTGGTGAGACTTTGTGGCTAATCTAGTACTGTGATTAAATTCATAAAGTCCAGGTACAATAACGGAAAGTTCATCCAAGCAATTACCATGAAAGTATTTTGATAGAAAAGTTAAAGGAAAGCTACATTAAAACGATGGGAAAGTGAATGAAGCCAAGATGCCAGGACAGGACCAATAATATTGCTGATTTTTCTTTGGATTTTATCCATAATCTTTAAATATATAGCAGGAGAACTACACCATATGTGGTAGCAGTATTCAAAGCATGGGTGAATAGTAGATTTATAAATATGTAAGATTCTGGAGAGAAAAATTATCTTCATTTTTCATATTTCAGTTTTTAATACTTGCTTCAAAATTAATCATTAATTGCTGAAGAAAATAACATACGATAAAAGGAAAAAAAATTTAATCTATCATTTCTTATGCATTATTAATTATAACCAAACTAAGTCAGATAATACTTGTTACCCGAGATTTTTTTTTTTTTTAATATTCTTCTGTGCACAAGTGTCCCTTCAGGACATGGGCAGTCATGGCTCTCCACAATTTTCAGTCCTTTGTAAATTTTGTCATCTCTCCTAAACCCTTTTCTGCCTACTGTTTACACAAGCTCATTAGGTAAGCAATGTGATGCTTTCCTCTGTCCCTCTTTGCCTATGAAAGCAAATTTTCTAAGCCCTCTTTCCTCATTATGTGTCCTCTTAATATCAACTATCTTTCTGATGTTACAAGTTTTCTTTGTTTCCATTTTCTTTAAAATTTTGTTGTTGTTCACATATTCAGCCCATGGCATTCACAGCATCCTTCTGTAGAAGCACATTTGTTTCTTCAAATCTTTGTCTGAGGAAATTGCCCAGCATTCACTGCCATATAGGAAGACTGATATTATGTAACATTTCAGCACTCTTTTCTTTGTTTCTAATGAAAATGTTTTATCATGAGCTGAGTGACTTTTTTTCAACCATTTAAAAACATATGATTTAAATTGACAACAGAAAAATAATTATAATACACCAATTTACTCTCAACTGTGTCTTCATCTTAATCCTTATATCAGCAACAGTTTGACTTTCATATCCTTTGATCATCTTCAGTTGTCTGCTGGTCTTCATAAATCGTTCATTTACAACCGAACCTTCTATCCAATTCACAAAGCCAGACTCTTTTCATTCTACTGTCCATGCTAGAAGAAATCTTATTTTAGTTACAATCCCAATGAACTGAACAAAGGGTCTAGTTCAAGGATCTCTGCAAGATTAGCGTCTATAACAGCTACCTGAAGAAGGCCACAGTTGAAATATTATGACAACCTAGATAAGGACAAGAGTCTGAGTAGATCAGCCTGTCATGATAATTCCTAATCTCAAAAGTTCAGATTAAAAATAATTTTTCTTGTTTGTCTTGGATATAAAAGTTCATTATTCTAAAATAACATTAGAACTATTTACAGATTATATGAACAAAATATTCTTAAAAAAAAAAAAAAAAAAAAAAAAAAAAAAAAATCAAAATAATATTGATAGGTTTAATGTATACAGCATGTTTACAAATATTAAACTCTTAAAAAGAAGAGTAAGATTCATTACAACATCCTAAAACTATTCAAATTGATTTTTCTTATTAAAATCAAATTCTTCAAAACATTTCAAATAATATAACACTATTTGTGAATTGATGGTTTGTCATCTTGAATAGCTTTTTTATATATATATATATATATAAATAATATAAACAGTGTATATTGAGAATTACTTTTTGCTATCATATGGAAGCTTTTTTTCATGGTGCAAATACATCCTTATGAATACTGTATTTTTTTTGTATTTATGACTTTCTGTGAGAAAGTGGTATTGGTTCTACTTCTTTCATTTAAGTTTGAAAGTCTTAAATAATCAAGGTTTTGAATAATTATTTTCATATTAAATTTTCAGTAATATTTACTTTCATATTTTTTAGGTGTATATTTTATTATATAACTTTTATTCTAACTGTTAATCTATGGCATTGAGTAGACAACACATGATAGTGAATAAATCTAAGCTTGCATTTAAGTTCAAAATCATATATCCCTTTTACCTCAGAAAAACCTGGTTAAACACACCAGCTGTTTTCTTTTTTAAAATGTGAAATAACTTTACAGAAAAATCAAATCTAATCAATAAATCCAGCACTTCATTCCAATCTTTCTTGGTGGCATGTTTGTTTTTTGTTTATACACTGGGAGTATTATACATTTTTTTTTTGTTAAATGAATCATCGTCAAACATAATCTTTTATTATTCTTTACTTAATTTTTTCATTGCTTCTTACTGCAAATTTTCAACAATTTTTCCTTACTTTTTATGGCAAATTTTACTCAAATTATAAATCTACATGATGGTTACATAAAATAAATTTGAACTTCTGCAACACAAAGTTCTTGTAGCTTAGTGATACATTCACAAAGCTACCCTGAAGCAAAAGGGACAGAAATTCAAATCTCATTAAGAGCTTATCCTTTATTTCTGAACATGTACAGTTAACTCACTGCCATAAATTGATGACCTGAGTAAAACTAACTAAAAATTAAAATAAATACAAGTAAAAATTAATAATAGCTGGCAATATTTCATCTAATAAAATTGATACTACTGTTACAAACATTTTCTGTTCATAGTTTTTAGGTTGGTCAATATATTTACCAAATCCATGATATCAAGATTATAAACATTACAAGATTAAGTTAAATTCTACCAACATTCATCTTCATAAAACTATTTAAATTTTACTTATATTCCTTATTGGCCATTCTTTATAGTCACTTATATTTCATATATATATATATATATATAAAAATTCTTTGTATTTTAATGTTTCAATAAAAGTAAAACATCAATTATTTTTTTTAATCTGCCTGTTTGTATTTTGGTATTTTTTCAGAAAATTTTTTAAAAATTAGACAATATTTTTTTTTTTGTAAACCAATCAGAATTTAACAAAATTATGAAGAAATATTTTCTGTCGAATTGAAGTGAACCATACCAAGAACTTTTCAGCACCTCTTCAGATAAGATTTTGCATGAATAGCATCCTTAGGTCATACTGCCTGTAATGAGTATTTGAAACATTCTCCTGGTAATACAAGTACTGTGAGATACCCCATGAGACAAGGTATATTGGGCAATGTTGGTTTATTTTGAATGATGTAGGATTTATTCTATGGAAATTTGTTTCTGTAGGGATTGTAGGTTTTTACAATGCAGAAATGCTGGCCAAATACCCAACCCTCTCCATTTATCAACTTGGCTTGTGACCAGTTCTGGTAACTGCCAATATGTAGGATTTCTCTGCCAATGAGGGGAAATACCTGAAACCTAAACACTATATCAGGACTAATAATACTGCTGATTCTTCTTTGTATTTTAAATGCTAGATACCTAGTAATACTAGTAAATCATATGTTTGATCTTGATGGCAGATTTTTTGTTAAGTGTCTAAACACTTATTGAATTTCAGTTTTGTATTTTTCAAAATTGTCTTAACTTTCCCTCAGATTTCCACCAGTTTTACTCATATTTATTTCTTCAACAGTAACAATTCACGGGGGATAATTTACACAGAGTTATAAGTAGGACAGTAGATTGCATTTAAATTTTTGCAGACTAATGTTGGCTGGAAAGCATGGAGCTGGAAATGAAATTGCATAAGTGAAAAGTGCGAGAAAAGAAACTTATAGAATTTACGGTCACATCTAGCCAGCTCAACTATAAATTAATGAGATCTCAATGCCAGTTTAGTACTCAAGAAATCTAGGTACCATGGCAAAGAGTTCATCTAGACAATTACCCTGAAAGTATTTATAGAAAAGTCACAGAGAGTCAACCTTACACCTGTGGGAAAATGACTAAAGCCCAGCCACCAGATCAGGACCAATAATATTGCAGATTATTCTTTGGATCTTAAATGCCAGATAACTGATAATACTGGAGAGGCATATGTTTGATTTTGAAGACAGATTTTTTTTTCTTTTACCATTGCACTGAAAGAAATGCTTTGTATTTTTCTCTATAAGTATCTTTATTTTTATGTGTATAGATGTCTCCTGAGAGATATAAATAGAAAATCAACTGAATATCTTCAAAAGTTTTAATATTAATATACATAAATTATAATACATTGTTCAATGAAGTAACATTTTCTAATATGACCCTGGAGATATTCCTTGCTGCATCTTTTTGGCTTCAAAATAGAAGCCAAAATATTTCTTGTATTTTGCTCAACTGTACTCACTTCTTTGTGAGCTCACTTTGTCTTATCTATCCACTTGTAAAATCTCATCAAGTAGATTTTTTGCTGTTTTA